ACTTGCAGCCCCTAGTGGTAGCAGGGACAATGGAGAACAGGGCTGCTAAAGTGTCAGCAAGGTAGGGCTGGCATGGGCAGAGTTCTATCTTTTGTAATTTATTTCAGTATTTTGAAACTGTGAAGTTTTCCATCCAGAGAGATCACCAAAGTGACACAGATTTACAAAAAAAGAGCAGTAATAAATGAACTCTGACTTTTTAATTAATTCAGCGCAGCTACTTATTTCCCAGCAAAGCTGCAAATTCCTTTCTTTCATTATTCTTGTGCCATAGAGTGACTCCAACTCCACCCAACCAGCACACTGGCAGCCCATAGACTATCGATTTATCCAAAAGCAAACTCATGCACTGAGTTTCTGATTTCATTCCTATTGCAATTAGCTCCTCTTTCCCACCCGCACCACACCTCTCTTTTAATCATGGATATGCTAAAGGGAGTCTGCAGAGATACCGAGGCAAATCCCTCACCATCGGAATTGTGTTTATCGCTAGCAGTGTTTCACTCATCCTCCATCTGAGCCTGCCAATCCAAGCCTAATCCTGACAGGGCTGTGATGCTCGCAACAGGGCTGCTGGATTGATGGCACTGCCCTGACTTAGTGCACTCACATGGTTCTGACCCTGCCTTGGTCCCAGCCCTGCCCAGGTAAACAGCAGAGTCGTCAGTTTTGGGAGGGCAGTTCCACCACACTGCATGCCTCACTACTGCTTGAACAAGTCCACCTTCTGCTGCTGCCAGTGTCTCAAATTTCAGTGGCGCCCTGTGTGATGCTAAAATCCAGCACGACTCACGCCTTTCACCTTCCAATGAACTTCACAGTTGTGGTGCCTGCTGCAGCACCCCAGAAGCTCTGCGCCTGGTGCAGTTGTGCTGCCCTAGAACCGCCTTTGCTGCTGCAATCCATTCCCAATCCACATATCTATCTAGAGTGCAAGGCAACTGGAAAATGCTGCTCTCTGTTGCCACTGCTCACGTCTCAGAAAGGACATGTGAGAAGGCATGGATAGCAAAGAGGAGATAACTAGAGGGGTTGCAGTGGTCCCTTGCAAGATAGGGGAAAAGGTAAAGGACCCCTGGACGGATAAGTGCAGTCAAAGGCGACTCTGGGGTTGCGGCGCTTATCTCGCTTTCAGGCCGAGGGAGCGGGCGTTTGTCCACAGACAGTTTTCAGGGTCATGTGGCCAGCAGGACTAAACCGCTTCTGGTGCAACAGAACACCATGATGGACACCAGAGCACACGGAAATGCTGTTTACCTTTCTGCCACAGCAGTACCTATTTATCTACCTGCACTGGTGTGTTTTTGAACTGCTAGGTTGGCAGGAGCTGGGACAGAACAATGGGAGCTCACCCCATCACAGGGATTCGAACCACCGATCTTCCAGTCGGCAAGCCCAAGAGGCTCAGTGGTTTAGACCAATAAGGCCAGCCAAACCCAGCAGTCTGACAACTGTACTATATTGTCTCCTGTTGGATCTCACATAGTCATCATCATAGTCATAGTAAAAGCCACTTTGAGGAGGAAGCTCAAAGGCTGGGCTGGCAAATTTCAGGCTCTGTAGCCTGGAGACTCTGAAACTCAGACTCTGATAAAGATGGATGCCCTTATCCTTTTGGCTATGCAATCTGTGTCTCAATATAAATAAATAAAAGGAACATCAAGCTGTGCCACTAAAGGGACCACGCAGCATCAATTGCCAGAACAAGTGGATTCATCTCTCTGATGATTAGATGCCTGCAGGCTGAAATACCTGTACTGGCAATTTGGATGTGGATAATTAAAAAGCAGAGTCTTATTAGAATTTCTTAAAGCTAATTATTAATTGAAACTAAAATGTCTTTTAAAGCTTCATCTTAGCAACGAGATTAAAGAACTACATTTTATTAGGGTTTTTCCTTTAAAGAAGCAAAGTTTGAAATACTGTGACTATCTGACAGTATAGTCTGCTGCTAGCAACAGCTTCCAGGACAGCGGTTGCTTTTGATACAGATACCACAGAATGATGTCTTGCATGAGAATACAATCCAAGAATATGCAATACAGTGTACTCAATGCAAGGATTCCTCTAGAAACCAATTATATTTATCTTATGCATTATCTATATATTCAAATATTCCTCTTGACATAGCCATGGGGTGTGTGAATGTTAAGGACAATAAAGCTATTACCCATAAATATTTTTTGCAGCATTATCAGCTTGCAATAAGTACAGCTGTTACTCAAGATATACTTTTTCTTTAGGTGAGCCACAACTTCTTTAATGTGCATTTTAAATGAACATCGTACAACTACTGTTATGAAATCTGGATAAGAGCAAGCACAAACAGGGTCCTTCCTCTGGCTACAAATGAGGAGAAGAAAGAAAGGGATTCTAAGGCTTCACCCAGGCTGGTTCCTCAACGTGAACACAACACAAAACCATGGTTTGGTCATGCTGTGTGCGAACTATTGGAATTATTCCAATGTGTGGTGCCCTGGGTAAAATTGCCCAGTTTGTGCTATGAGCCACTCCTAAAACAGGGGCAAATTGTAAGAAGGCTTTCTCATGTATTTTTATATATATATTTCAGTCTAAAGCTGAAAAAAACAAAACAAAAAAACAACAACATTGGAAATTGACATTATGAAAATGATGTATTTTTCTTCCCCATAATCTGTCAGTCAACTTATTTCCTACACCGTTTTAGAAAATGTGACAATTTTTAATTGCATGTTCTTCCTTGCTATTATCTATTCAAGGGTGTGTGTGTGTGTGTGTGTGTGTGTGTGTGTGCGTGTTTTCTCTAAGAGAATATTATATTCACATTATTATTTCCAAGACACAGAGTTGCCTAGCAATCTGGGAAAGTGGAAGGGTGTAAGGGTCTGTGTGTGTGTGTGTGTGTGTGTGTGTGTGTGTGTGTGTGTAGGGGGAGTCATAACAACACAGGCCTGTGAGATTACAAGGCAGCAGAACCGTTAAATTGGTTTGCAATACTTATCAAGATGTTTGTTTCTAAATGAGAAAGGATATAGGATTTGCTCGAAGCCTGATAAAATCTGTGGATCATTTCTCAACACCCTCCCCAGCCTTAAAAGCTCTCGCTTTGCAGATATGCCTTTATTGCAAAACAGAGTTCTTCCATTTAGCTTCATTAGCTGCCAAACAACTAATAAGGGAGTCAGACTACGGTGCTGTGAACTGCTGGCCTAACATTTCATGACTGTTCCCAACTCAACGTGGGGCAGCAAGCTATGCAGAGCCATTCTCAAAGAAAAAGCCAGCAAAATGTCGCAAAGCATCTAGCATAGTCCTCTAAGACCGCAATCCTAAAGACTCTTGATTCTGAGTCAATACACTTTCACTGCACAGTTAACATATTTAGCTATCACAAGACCTATTTGGGCATACAAGTGACATAGAGGAGATAAGGATGCAGGACCTATGAATGAGTCTTGGTCCCACCCTTAATGTCCCCATCATGCAGGAGTGTCAGCTCAAGGGGGTCAAGCCCTTTTGCCCCCCCTTATGTTTTGGGGGTCGGGCCCCTCCAATGTCCAAGTAGCACAGAGGGTTCTTCGCCTCCTCTACCTGCTGCGGAGGGGAGGGAGAGTTGGAGCAGCCTTCTGCTGGTGGCAGAGCCAGGAAGAGAAGGAGAAGGAACCACCAGCCGCTGAAGCCATGCAGCCACCCCCGGCTCCTCCCAACATCCTGACATCCCACGCACGATGTTGGGACATCGCATGCACTCCATTGCCCCCCAAATCACTCTCGTAAGCTGGCACCTCTGCCACCATGTGTATACCATCCTTCCCTTCCCTTCTTGAGAAGGTGGGTCTGAAGGGGGCTTCTTGTGTGTTTGCATGGACAATGACAACTATGGTCAGCTGAAAACAGAAGCCCCTCTTCACACGTTCACTTTGAATGCCAAAAGAAAGTTTTATCTTAACCAAAGTCAGGCATTATAACCACTGGCGGAGGAAGAGGAGTGCGGGGGGAGCACACCGCCCCTGGCAGCGCGATCCCAGTAGGATGCCATTGTGGCTGTCCCCCCTGCCCATGCTGGTCGCCACGTCCCTGCGGGTGATGCACCCCACCCCTGGGATGCGCGCCGGCCCCGCCCTGCCTGCTCTCCACCTGCTCTCCGCCACTGATTATAACTCCCTCATGAAGCTCTGCCACTGATTATAACTCCCTCATGAAAGAACATCAGAAGAGCCCTCCTGGAGCCAGCCAAAGACCAAACTAGTCCAGCATCCTGATCTCACAGTGGCCAGACAGATGCCCAAAGGCAGGACCTGAATACTATAGCTGTGATTCCCAGCACCAGGTATTCAGAGGCATACTGCATTTGATAGGGAAAGTCTTACACATCCATCGTGACTGAGGAGCCATTGGTAGCCTTACTGATAACCTAACAGAACCACAACTTCCAGGGTCCTATAGTTTAACAATCATCCCCTCTTTGTAGGGAACTATAGGAATTGGAGCCTGCCAACCTAGCAGTTCGAAAGCACCCCCAGGTGCAAGTAGATAAATAGGGACCGCTTACTGGCGGGAAGGTAAACGGTGTTTCCGTGTGCTGCGCTGGCTCGCCAGATGCAGCTTGTCACGCTGGCCACGTGACCCGGAAGTGTCTCCGGACAGCGCTGGCCCCTGGCCTCTTAAGTGAGCTGGGCGCACAACCCCAGAGTCTGTCAAGACTGGCCTGTACGGGCAGGGGTACCTTTACCTTTACCTTTATAGGAATTGGAACTTTGTGAGGAGAATAACTATTTACTAAAAACTCTCAGCACCCTTAGCAAACTACAAAACCCATGATTCTTTGGGGGGAAGCTGTTTAAAGCGACAGAATACTGCTTTAAATGTGTAGTGCAAATATGGCCAAAGACTGGGGGGCAGGGGAATGGAAAATGGAGAAAGCCATCCGTAGACGTGAGATACAAGTGAACAAGGATAATGACCAATGTGTTTGGAGCAGATAATTCATTCAGTGCCACACGGAATTTCTTCCTTACCTGTACTTTCGTCCATGCTCTCCTCAGAGACATGCTCATTTTGGTGCACCCACTCCCCATTGCACTTGAAGAAGATCTGCATTGCAGGCACAGCTCGGCAGCGCAACACAATAGGGTTGCTTTTGATTATATACGCATCGTCTGGCTCTTGCAGAAAATGGGGCAGTGTCCCAGGAGCAGACGGGATGGACTCTGGGAGGGTTTCGCCATTGTCATTGCCTGCAAATGAAAAAGAAAGGAAATGTCACACATGAAGGAATCCTGGTCAAATACAAATCAGATCATGGCCCAAATAGGATGCTTGGACCTGGGTGTTGTTGTTTACAACATTCGTGATACATTTGGCCAGCAGCAGCAGTTAACATGACAAGGGTCTGAAAGCAAATGATGCAGCGACCTTGCTGAACCTCAGCAGGATGGATCTGGTCCATGACTGAATAGGAAGCATGCATGGTACTTTCAGTTCCATTTAAGAAAGGAAAGATGATTATTATGATGATTTAACTAACTAACTTGTGAATTGAGACAATGGGGGCACATCAAGCACATCTATGAATTGGCAGTTCAGTGAGTGTGCTCACAACTCAGAAGAATTTGCAGCAGACTTCCCCAAGCTGGTGATTTCCAGGTGTTTTGGACTAGAATTTCCACCAGCCTTAACCAGCGCACCCAGTGCTCAGGAATGATGGGACTTGTAGTCTAAAGCATCTGGAAAGCACCAGCTTGGGGAAGGCTGACCTACAGCCATCCAAGGGTGCAAATTTGTGCAGTAAGAATAAAGACATGTAGCACAAAGGAAGAGAGTGAAATTCTAGCCCAAGGGGAATGCAAGAAAGCAAGTTTGCTGCGCACATGACAGAATTATCATATTAAGAATAAAATATGCATCATTACTGATGTGAAATATTCACTAAAATGGAAAACACTGATATAGTATCAACATCCACCAAGACTCTGACAGGCATCCCCATTTTACAGAACGGAGCAGAGGCTTCATATAAAAATTGCTCCAACATTTCACGGGAGAAAATGGAGACAACCCTTTGCACGAAAAGCTAGAATGAGCCTGCAGCAGAGTCCAGTTGCCTGAAGAGAACATAATCCAGCCTACAAGTGTGACATAAGTAGGAACTAATTAAACATATGCAACAACCGAAGGTGGTGAGTCAACCCACAGACTACTATAGGTCAATGCAATTAAGCGTGTCGAAGGTATGAGAGCTGCTGAGGGGTTTTGCTGTTCCAGGCCCATTAAAGCTATCATTTAAGTCACTAGCCCTTCTAGAATTAACATGATCAAACATAATGTGAAAGCACCACTCAAAACAACTGCTTGGTAAGCCAGTGGGTGAAGTTAGAGCAGGTGGACCAGATCTTTGCCTCTCCCGCCCTACATACGTCACTTTGACTGACAGACAAGTTCAGAGATTTACTCATAAAAACAGCAAAGAAGCATTTATCTGCACTGGTTGAATGGGAACAGGACAGACACACGAAACAGTTTTGCCACTGTCACACTGCACTTTGCCCACTGGATCACAATTAAGTTAGTCTTTGGTAAAGAAGGCAGTCGATGCTCTCTTAAAGTCTCCGAAGTACTTTTGCTTTAACGTAAACACGTGCATGCATTTTTTAAGATGGAGCTGCAGGGACATTTCATATGATTTAAATTGCACTCACACACTCCTTAATGTATTGTTAAAATGATGCAGTTCACCCATTTATGACATGTCAACCGACAGTAAATATTACATCCCTGTAGGCTTTATTAAATCCATGCATTAGACGGAACAAAAGGCATTAAAACATTTTATGCGGGAAAAGAACTCCCTACTTCCATCGGTGCCTTGAGCGATGTCAAAGTTGTACATTTCAACTTGTACTTATGCAGTTTAATAGCCCGTGAAAAAAGGGTGGAATATTCACACAAAAATGTAATCACCTAATCATAGAATATTAGAAAGGGCCCAACGGGGCATTATAGTTCATCCAGAACCCTAAGGGCTTCTTGTTATCTAAAGCATCTTTTACATCATCACTACCATGATCCGTGCAGATTTGCCATTTCATTAAGAGCATTGCAGAGTAGAATTTCAGCGGAAAAGAAGCTCAGATATGATTTGCTTAGTGTGAATATATATATATATATATGGGACACGGGTGGCGCTGTGGGTAAAAGCCTCAGCGCCTAGGGCTTGCCGATCGAAAGGTCGGCGGTTCGAATCCCCGCGGCGGGGTTCGCTCCCGTTGCTCGGTCCCAGCGCCTGCCAACCTAGCAGTTCGAAAGCACCCCCAGGTGCAGGTAGATAAATAGGGACCGCTTGCCAGCGGGAAGGTAAACGGCATTTCCGTGTGCTGCGCTGGCTCACCAGATGCAGCTTGTCACGCTGGCCACGTGACCCGGAAGTGTCTCCGGACAGCACTGGCCCCTGGCCTCTTGAGTGAGATGGGCGCACAACCCCAGAGTCTGTCAAGACTGGCCCGTATGGGCAGGGGTACCTTTACCTTATATATATATATCCCATTTGGGTGGTGTCTGGGGCACTCAAGGCAGGCCCAAAACAGAATCTGGTAGGCGCTAGGCAGATTAAAATGATGTATGTTCTGGCAATCTTGCTCTCTCTGTGGAAAGTATGTGTGCGTAAGAGAGCAGAGGCAGAGCAACAGTAGCAAGAAGAAAATGCACCCACTCAGGTGAAGTGGCTCAGGTGAAGCAGGTGGGAGAGCTAGCTAATAGCATCTGGACAAAGGTCCATCCCTCTCACCACAAAAGAAAATAAAGACATAAATCTGGAACCAGCACAGATACCATGTGATGTGCACCTTTAAAAATATACAGGCAACAATCGGCCTATCAATTTCTTCCCAAACTCGCTGGTGTGTAGTGTGGCCATATGCCCCACTGTACCAAGTATAGTCCTTTATCTGAAGGAGTCCTCTGTCTGAAAGGCTGTCTCGCCCACAAGTTCAATATGAAAATACAAAACCCTAAGAAGGGAAAGCCAGGGGGACCATCAAGTTGCTCATCCAACATTTAGCAGCACCTGGGCAGCAGACCGAACAGGCACACATGGGTTACCTGGCCTCAGCCTTCCCCACTATGGTGGCATGTGTTGTAACTCTATTTAAATCACAGTTATCGTTTCTAAATTTGCATACATGCACAAATGAGCAGATGCCAATGTTATGCAAATCTGTATCATTTTGGGGAGGGCGACGCATTTCCTCTCAAATTAAATTAAGCCACTTCCTAGTTGACATCACCACAGCAGCCCTTGAACAATAAAGAAAATAAAACATTGTGTGTGTGTGTTTGACAAAATTGTTTAGAATCAAGTGGGGCTCTGGAACATTTCTGCTTGCAAATTATTAGCACTTTTCATGTTTATATCCGTCATTTTTCAAGATGGAGGCTATTCGTAGCTTCAGGGAAAGAGTGTAATGCCGCAATGAATGACAAGACCCAACAATCAAACATATTGTGTGCTGTTGTTTTCGTTTGCATTCTTGGGAAATTACCTTTCAGAAAGTGTTTTGTGTTTTATGCCCCATGCGCTCACGTAGTAGGTCCTCTAATTCTTTTTATGACAGTAATGAAAAGAAGAGGCGAGAGAGTTAGAAAGAACACGAATGCAGCGTTTGTCATTTTTCAAAGCCCTGATAGCAGCAGAAGCAACAAATCTTTACAAATTTTAAACAAAATGGAAATATAATTAAAAACTCCCCCTTAAAAAACCAAGTTTCCTTCTTTTAGAAGATAGTTTGAATGATGTTAATTCTTTGCACTATGGAAGACACATTTTAAATTAAAATAAGATTTCTTTAAAAACTGAATTAAACACCCTCTTATGGAAATAAACAGCATTAGCCATGTTATAGCAGGTGCCGGATATGCCATTAGCAAAGTGCTACATTCTAAATTTTTCAGGTTTTATGGACTGCGATTTGGTAGCTTTTTACCATTTATACAGCCCTATAAAACCAAACAGCGTATTATTGTAGAAAATATGGCTTGGGAAGTACCTGAGAGCAAGCAAGGAAAGGTTTTTTGGTCGTAACAAAACTAATATCTTACTTGCCTAGAAATGTTCTTTAGAGCAATGTGCACATTTCCAAGTATAAAAACCGGAAGGTAATGCACCACTTGCCATAAAAGGTGAACAAGGATCTAGATCTTGTTTGTGAGCTCAGACTGAAACAGAAAACAGGGATCACGTTTGCAAGCAGACCAACAACTGGAGATGGACATTACCATTTTTTTTTCCTGTGAGCACAAACTGTTTATCACCTTCTATACAAATGGTTGTCTGGGATAGGGACTTACTTGGATGTTATTTTGGATGTTATTTTGGATGTATTGCCTAAACTCCATCTTTGGGGTTAGGGTGTAGTATTTTAGTTTATATGTGTATGGTGTTGTTATACATTTGTACCTTGGAAGCCAAACGGAATCTGTTCTGGAAGTCCGTTCGACTTCCAAAACGTTTGACTTCCCAGGCGTGGCTTCTGATTGGCTGCAGGAACTTCCTGCAGCCAATTGGAAGCCGCGGAGGCCCTGACGGACATTCAGCTTCCAAAAGAACGTTCGCAAACCGGAACACTCACTTTCGGGTTTGCGACGTTCAGGAGCCAAAACGTTCAACTGCTAAGGCGTTCATCAACCAAGGTATGACTGTATATTGTAGGAATCTAATAAAAACAACAGCATGAACATGCAGCTATTTTTGGCACCCCTAAGAACATATGAAGAACCTGCTGGATCAGGCCAATGGCCCACCTACTTCAGCAACCTGTTCTCATAAGGTCATATCCAGTTTTAGCCATACTCAGAGTAGACTAATTGAAATTAATGGACACAGCTAACTCTGTTGGGTATTTAGTAGGATACAAGCCACAGTGCCCAACAAGATGCCTATGGGAAGTCCGAAAACAAGACCAAACCAACTCAACATAGTCTACGCTGACTGGTGGCAGCTGTCCAGGATTTCAGACAAGGTTCTCTCCCGGCCCTACCTGGAGATGCTGGGCACTGAACCCGGAACCTTGTGCATGCAAAACAGATACTCTTCCATTGAGCTAAGGTCCTTCCCTCAAGTTAACAAAGTTGGTGGCTGTTGCTACTTCTTGTAGTGTGGGAGCCAGAATTGTAATCCCTCCCTAAGAACACAGAACACATTGCATACTTGTTCCATGTCAGAAACACTGGAGAGAGATTAGAA